CAACAGTTCCTGCAACAGTGCCAACGTGGTGGATCTCACACACCGTTTGAATACGGTGACACTTCAGCAGCCTACCGAGTCACAGTGGTTCATGGACAGCGGGGCGACCTCTCATATGGCACCACACTCAGGTAATTTCAATTTTGTTTTTAATCCTGGCAGTAAATTCCCCAAACATGTCGTCGTCGGTAATGGTTCCACCCTCCCCATAACCCACATAGGCCACACAATTCTTCCCACCACTCGTTTCCGCCTCACAAATGTCTATGTCACACCCAATATCGTCAAACACCTTATATATGTTCGAAAGTTCACCCGCGATAACTCATGTTCGGTTGAATTTGATCCGTTTGGTTTTTCTGTGAAGGATCTTCGGAGTCGAGTCGAGATTTTCAGGTGCAATAGCTCCGGTGACCTATATCCATTTGGCGTCCCTCCCCCCACCTCACCTCCCGCTGCTTTCCTCACTGTCGCAACACCTTCGTCTCGCACTCTTTGGCACCGGCGTCTAGGCCATCCCGGCAAACACGTCATGTCTCGTTTATTTTCTAGCACTTTTCTTTCCCATAATAAAGACCCTAGGGAGTCTCTTTGTAATGCTTGTCAATTAGGCAAGCATTTTCGTCTACCATTTTTTTCTCAAAAATCTACTACTGTTGCTCCATTTCAAATTATTCATGCTGATTTATGGACTTCTCCTGTTTCTAGTCTTACGGGTTTCAAATATTATCTTGTGCTGGTTGATGATTTTACCCATTATTTATGGACTTTTCCCCTTCGAAATAAATCTGAGGTTTTTACAACCTTTGTCAATTTTCATACACTTCTCAAAACTCAATTCCAACATCCCCTGAAAGCCTTACAAAGTGATAATGGTCGTGAATTAAAAAATGCGGATTTTCAAAACTACTTCACTAAACATGGCATCCTAAATCGTTTTTCGTGTCCCCACACCTCCCCTCAAAACGGACACGCAGAACGAATGATCCGCACTATAACCAACATGATTCGATCCCTCATCTTTCAAGCCCATCTTTCTCGTACTTTTTGGGTCGAAGCCCTTCATATGGCCACACACCTACTCAATATCCTACCTACCAAAACCACACAAAACCGGACCCCTCACGAAGCTCTTTACCTCATCAAACCTACATACTCTCATCTTCGAGTATTCGGCTGTCTCTGTTATCCCAACCTCACCGCCACCACACCACATAAATTCGCCCCCCGTTCTACTCCTTGTGTCTATCTCGGTCATCCTTCCTCTCACAAAGGCTATCGTTGCCTTGATAGATCCACTGGCCGAATCATAATTTCTCGTCATGTTATCTTCGACGAAACTAACTTTCCTTTTGCTGAGTCCACTCCCCTCAAAAACACACTTCCTCCTTCTGCCTTGGACGAAAACACACCCTCCCTGTTCCTCCTCCCCCAGACTTCGTCTAACTGTTGCAACAGTTCCTCCAACTGTTCCAATAGTGAACCACCCTGTTCCAACAGTCCGTCCAACAGTCCTATAACACAGCCAACACCTATTTCCCCTGCAGCAGCACCTGTCGACCACAACCACCTCACAACCCCTTCTCATACTTCCACATCTCCTTCTCCTACTCCCCCACCTCCCCCACCTCCCTTTGCTCACCCTATGGTGACTCGTAGTAAAGTGGGCATCCACAAACCCAAAGTCCCTTTCTCTCTCGTTGCATCCTCTACCTCTCCCATTCCCACCAACTATCGCCAAGCTCTTCTTGACCAAAACTGGCGAAACGCCATGATTGAGGAATATACTGCTTTAATTAAAAACAATACTTGGAATGTTGTGCCCCGCCCCCCGTCCACTAATGTTATTTCTGGTAAGTGGATATATAAACAGAAACTCAAGTCTGATGGCTCCCTCAAGCGATACAAAGCACGGTGGGTTGTTCGTGGGTTTCACCAGCAGGCTGGCATCGACTTTGACGAGACTTTCAGCCCAGTTGTCAAACCAGCCACTGTTCGAACAAATCTCAGTATTGCTCTCTCGCGATCATGGCCAATCCACCAGCTTGACGTGAAAAATGCCTTCCTACATGGCAATCTCTCTGAAACTGTCTACTGCGAGCAACCTCCCGGATTCGTCGATCCATCTCGCCCCACTCACGTGTGTCGTCTCAACAAAGCACTCTACGGTCTCAAGCAGGCACCACGTGCTTGGTACAAGCGTTTTGCATCTCACATTACTACCATGGGGTTCAGAGAATGCAAGTCCGACACTTCACTCTTTGTGTACTGTCGCAACAGTTCACGCGACTGTCGCAGCAGTTCACGCGACTGTCGCAACAGTTCATGCGCCTACCTTCTGTTGTATGTCGATGACATTGTACTTACGGCCTCCACACCTGAATTGCTCCGCTCCATCATCGCTGCACTTAATCAAGAGTTCGCAATGAAGGATCTTGGCGATCTTCACTACTTTCTCGGCATCTCAGTCACTCGCTCGTCGAATGGGCTATTTCTCTCTCAACGCAAGTACGTCGACAAGATCCTAGAGCGTGCACACATGGCTTCCTGCAACCCTTGTCTTACGCCGGCTGACACAAAGAGCAAGTTGTCCTCGACCACTGGACCCCCCGTTGCTGACCCTACTCTTTATCGCAGCCTTGCCGGTGCACTGCAATACCTCACGTTTACTCGTCCTGACATCTGCTATGCTGTGCAACAAATATGTCTATTCATGCATGATCCGAGGGAACCTCATATGGCTGCTCTTAAGCGTATCCTTCGCTACATTCGTGGGACTCTCGATCACGGCCTTCAGCTCTCCCCCAATCCGGACCTCTCCCTTATCGCTTACTCCGACGCCGATTGGGGTGGCTGCCCTGACACTCGTCGTTCGACATCGGGCTATTGTGTTTTCCTCGGCAACAACCTCATTTCTTGGTCCTCCAAACGACAGGTCACTACCTCTCGATCGAGTGCGGAGGCCGAATACTGAGCTGTCGCAAATGCCGTCGCCGAAACGACTTGGTTACGAAACCTACTTTCTGAGTTGCTCTGCCCACTTTCGAAAGCCACTATTGTCTACTGTGACAATGTCAGTGCCGTCTACCTATCGAGCAATCCTATTCAACACTCTCGTACGAAACATGTGGAGATCGATATCCATTTTGTCCGAGACAAAGTTGCTTTGGGGCACGTTCGAGTCCTTCATGTCCCATCCGCCTACCAGTTTGCCGATATCTTCACGAAAGGACTCCCTACTCAACTGTTCCAACAGTTTGTCTCCAGTCTCCACGTCCTCTCCTTTCCCGTTTCGACTGCGGGGGTGTATTAGCGTATCTTTATATATATTACGTATCTTTATTATATATATTACGTATATCTATTATTATTCTTATTTATTAGGTTACCTTGTGTATTAGGTTTCCTTGTATATTAGGTTACCTTGTGTAGTAGGTTAGGGTTTCCTACATGTAACTATATATATGATTAATATACGTAAGAGATATCATTCTCTCTTTTCTCCAAATATATTTCTCCTATATTTTATTTTATATAAAATTAGATAATTATAATATAAAATTTGGTGTAATTAGAGTCAATTATTATGTACTAATTGATGAAAAAAACCCTAGGACATTTCAGTCTTTTTACATTTAGTCAAAGCCTAAAATTAAAAAAGGTGCAGTGTGCTTCGAAAATGTTAACACAGAGGGGCATAAGAGAGTTTTTTTTACAGGCGGTATTTCGCAATTATAGATTACACAGGGGTGGTATTTGCAATTAACTCGGCTATAAATTATTATCTGAGACTATTTGCCCGGATAAAAATACAAGCATCGGCACTAGTTACAAACTCTTCAGCCGATTCATTTGTTGGGGGTTCATGAAATTCCAATGATCGAGTTCCCTTATTTACATGTACAAAATGATCTACGTTTTGAACATACTTTTCTGCGTGTGACCAACATCAAACAAAAAGTTAGAGGGTATAATTTTTTTGAAAAAAGAAATTCAAAAAAGAGCTTATGATAAAACTTGTAAGTACCATTAATTTGTCCTGGAATACATTTTGTATCCGACAAAGTATCTTTTGTGTATACAAATAGGAAAATATGTAAAGAAACTAGCTAACAAAAAATCTATTGCTCTAGAACCTAGTCTATATATTACGGTTTACTCAAGTGGGACGTGAGATCAATGAATGACTCCTCACTGCAAGGAATAGTGAGGCCACCCATCGGATGATGAAATCCGAATTCTTCTTCAGTTTGGAATAGCAATTCTTGAAACAAAGGATCATTCAAATACGTTAATGGAATGACAAATCGCTTCTTTTCACTCTCCCCAACATAAACAGTCAAATGCCCCTTTGGAACTTCAGTTGATCTCTTTTCAGCCGATAAAGACCGTCTAAGAATTTTGTGAATAGCCATTGATTTTTGTTGGAAGTGATGAAAATCTTGGTGAGGCTGAAGATGAAAGCAAATAAATATATGGGAGTTTAGTGAAGCAGATGAAAATCTTGAAAATCGAGTTTTGAAGGCTGGTTGTGAGTTTAGAAATGTGTCGTGTAAACATATATATAGATGAACTTGAAATGCCATATTCCTCATAGCTGGATAGAGTGGTTACGAAGTGGACAAATGGTTATGATTTATGACAAACAAAATCACATGAAGAATCACATGCTTTTGTCTCTAAAATCTTCAAAACATTTCAGCAAGAAAATTTCATAAGACCCACCGAATTAAATGCAGTATAAGTTAATTAGATGATGTAATTTGTAAGGCTTACATGTATTAGTTACAACAGAAAACTTATAGGGTGGTTTAATTAGGGCCATGTTGCCATAGTTGGTGGGATACAATATTTATGATCTCATAGGTTCATCTTATTGGCCTAATAACAAGAATTTGTTATTAGGCCAATAACATGCATTATGAATTTGTTTTTTTAAAGACAAATCCATGTGATTTCATATGCTTATGTTTTTTTTTTTTTTACTTTCATACAGGATACATCATTTGTTTATAGCCTATATATACAAACATCATTTCTTGATTACAACCATCATCAGCAACTCCTCCTTATTCACCTCTCACTTATTTCAAATACTTCTCCAAGATTCACATCATACAAAAATGGCCATCCGCCAAATACTGAAACGATCTTTATCCAACGAAAGAAGATCAAATGATGTTCCAAAGGGGCATTTAGCTGTTTACATCGGAGAAAATGAAAAGAAGAGATTTGTTATTCCATTGTCATATTTAAACCATCCTTCGTTTCAAGATTTGCTTTGCCAAGCCGAAGAAGAATTTGGATACCATCATCCAATGGGCGGCCTTACTATTCCTTGCAGGGAAGATTTATTCGTTGATGTAACATCTCGCTTGAGGCGAACATGATATATATACAGTTATACATAAACTAGGTCTTAGGGCAATAGAATGTTTGTTAGCTAGTTTGTGGACGATTTTGTTCATTTTTTTATTTTTGTACTCAAAGAAGATACTTTGTCAGCAGGTAGAAGATGTACTCATGGACAGATAGATTAACGGTATTACTTATGAAAGATCTTTTGTTTACTCCAAGCCATTTTGACATGTGCATTTTATGTCGGGTAGATTCAACTTTCCCTCTTGTACTTTGACTTGGCATCACTTTACCTCTTTCTACTCTCGATTATATTGATTTCACCCTTGCACTTGAAAACTTGTCTCAATGTGGTCCTTGATGTTAGTTGTCAGATATTTGACCTTAACACTGTTCGGTTTAAGCTCTGAAGTTGAGTATTGAAAGTTGGTTGTGAGTTTAGAAATGTGTTGTGTGAACATGTATATATAGATGAACATGTAAATGCGATAATCCTCGCGAAGATGGGCATATGGTTTATGACAAACTCGGAGAAACAGAAACACATGAAGAATCACATGATTTTGTCTCTAAAATATTCAGAAGATATATTTTTGAGCAACATGTAATGAATGATTTGTCATTTGTGGGGTTAGGGACATTATTCATAACACATTATTCATAACACCACCAGCAAGAAAATACTCAGCTGAATTAAATGTTGCATTAGTTAAATTGCAGAACATAACTCATTGCATTCAGGATAAAGAAATAAATAGCGATGATGAGATGTGCGGGGCCGCTGCCTTCACTTATTGAATTTCTTGTGAATAATAACTAAAAGAGATAATTTGACAAAACTCCTCACTACACAAGTATCATTACAATGAGCCCAATTTTATTTTACATTTTTAAGATAAATCCAAAACAACTTTTATTAATTAATAACACTTAATTATCACCATTGTACCCCTAACTAAGAAATAATATATATTTAATTTATAATTAAAAGATATATAATATATTTTCCATATATTATATACGTCTCTCTCTCGCGCCCACACACACACACGCACAACACACACACACAACTGCCATTATTTTCACGCACAAGTTTCTCCATTGTTGTGGGGTCGAAAAAAACAGAGATTCAAATACACAATTAATAAAATAGAGAGAGATTCAAATACACAATTCAAATGCACAAGTTTCTCCATTGTTGTGGCGTCAAAAAACAGAGATTAAAACCGGAGGGGCAGGAGCATGCGGGACTATTTAGGGAAACGCCATTAGTACATAAACCAATCTTCTCACAAACGAATGAAATTCGACATGTATTGATAGGCCAAACAAACTCGTGTTTTTGTGCAACTCCTGAGAAGCTACTGATAATGAGTCCCCATTTATCAAGAAGTCAAAATTTTCATTACAAAGTGGTTTTCATTAATTACAGGGTGGATTTTCGTAATGGAATTCATTAATTATACAGTGGTTTTCGTTAATTACAGAGTGATTTTCATTAATTATTAAGTGGTTTTTGTTAATTGATAAGTTTTTAGTGAATTTTTTAATGAAATTGTTAATTACATAGTAATTTTCATTAATTACAGAGTGGTTTTCATTAATTATAGAGTGGATTACGTTAATATTAATGTGGATTATGCTTATTTGATAATAATTTTTACTTTCATTTCATAGTTGTTTTCGATAAATTTAGTGGTTTTCGATATACATGTTGTGGATTTCGATTTTTTTTTAAATATAAACCATTTAAAAAAATGAAATTAAAAAAAAAACCAAATTTTGTTTTAAATTTATATAAAAAAAAAGGGTAAATAGCATTAAACCACCTAAACTTTTTAAGTTTTTGCGGATCACCAGCTGAACAATTTTTTTTGCACGAGTTCACCTGTACTCAATTAATTGTACCACTTTGCCATTTTTTGCCGGTTTTCAGGTCAAAATGACCGGTTCTGAACCCACGTGGGTTGCACATGCGAAATCCAAGGGTATTGTTGTCTTTTCCTTGTAAAAAACCCTAATTACTTCAATTTTCCCTCAATTTCCCTGTTATCTCCATTATTTTCCCTGCAATTTTCTCTTTTTATCTCATTTATTTCTTTAATTTGTCTCTCATTCTCCCATTCCCTTCATTTCTCTATTCCGCAAAGAACATTGTATTTCCTCTCTTCTTATTCTTTTCTTTGACGGTGCTATAGTTACCTATCGCCGCCCTCTGTCGATGCCGCCTCACTCCACAGGAGGAACCAACAAAGGATTAGCCTACGGCGGTGGCTGCTGCAACAACCATCAGCCCAACCACCCCCGGTGTAAGTTCCCAATCGCCGCCCCCCGACGACGCTAGCCTCACTCCATAGGAGAAACCAAAAAAGGATTAACATGCGGCTGCTGCAACAACCACCACCAGCCCAACCACTGTCGCACCGGAGAAAGCAAACACGAAGGTAATAAGCCTATCGTTGCTCTAATCACAATCCCCACTCTGCTTCACCCAATTCCGCCCCTTCACCACTTGAATTTGGCAGCAAATCCATCCCTTCATGACTTGAATTTAACGGCAAGTCCATCCCCTGCATATGACGCCGTTTCAATTTCTGTTTTTGAGTGGATAGGTATATGGGTGGGTTTTGGTAGGGGATGGGTCTGAAAGTGCTTTTTTTTTTTTGGTTTTATTATTTTATGAAAAATTATCCAACAGTAGTTTATTTTCTCATTTATTCTGATAACCAAATAGAACTAAAGAAATTGGAACTACTTTGATTTCATTTTCTTCTGAACCAAACAACCATGTGATTTTTGTGATTTTGGAAATACTGTGATTTCATTTTCCCTAAAAATTGATAAAGGGTGGATGAAATGAAATGTGTGAGAATATGTGAATGTCAATGGGAATTAGAGCTGAGTATTTTAGGAATGGAAAAGACATGAATATCCTTGTATTTGTCATGTGAAACGCACGTGGGGCGAATACCGGTCATTTTGACCTGCAAACTGGTAAAAATGGGCAAAGTGACATAATTAATTGAGTACAGATGAACTACTGCAAAAAATTTTTTTTTTCAGGTGGTGATGTGCAAAAACTGAAAAAGTTCAGGTGGTTTAATGCTATTTACCCTAAAAAAAAACTATTTAAAAAATTAAAAAAAAATAGTAAAACTTAAACCAAGCGTGATAGGGAGATAATTGGGGGGTTTTGGGGGGGGGGGGGGGGGGGGGGGAAAAAAAGAAAATTTCCCTTTTCCCCAAAAAAAAATTGGATTTTTAAAAAAAATATAAAAAAACTTTTTTTTCAAAAATTAAAAAGGGGCATTTTGGAAAAATCCCAACAATTTTGTTTTTAACCAATATCTATTTAAAAAAAGGATTTTTTGAAAAAATGTATGAAGGGGGTTTTTCCAAAAACCCCCAAAAAAAAAAGGGTTTTAAAACCAATACCCCCCCCCGAATTTACCAAAGGTCCACGACCCCACGCCTTTTTAAATTTTTGACTAAAACCCCATTGTTGGAAGATGGTCTTTTGATAAAACCCCAAAAAACCCTTTTTCCCCTTTT